GTGTGTGTGTGTGTGTGTGTGTGTGTGTGTGTGTGTGTGTGTGTGTGCGTGTGTGTGTGCGTGTGCGTGTGCGCGCGCGCGTGCGCGTGCGTGTGTGTGTGTGTGTGTATGTGTGTGTGTGTGTGTGTGTGTGTGTGTGTGTGTGTGTGTGTGTGTGTGTGTGTGTGTGTGTGTGTGTGTGTGTGTGTGTGTGTGTGCGCGCGCGTTTGCGTGTGCACATCCCTTTGTGTTCTCAAGTCCCCCAAGGTTGCTGGGTAAAGAGTGCGTTTTTTTCGGTGTTATTTAAAGCGATAATACATTGAATAAGACGATAATTTACATTTTGCTATTTGTTATTATTAATGATAAAATAATTATGATAAAGATTATGATCATAATAAGATGATGGTGATGATAATAATTATAAAAAATATTGGCAACAGTGAAAATAATGATAGTATGATATGACATTGTTAGTAATAACAGTAATGAAATCAGTAATAATAATGATGACAATAATAATAATAATAATAATAATAATAATAATAATAATAATAATAATAATAATAATACAATAATATGAAAACAATATAAATAACGACAACAATACTACTACTACTACTGCTAATAATAATGATAACTATAATTGCAACAACAATAATCATAATGATAGTAATGATAATAACAATAGTAATTATGATCATAATGATAATGAGGATGATGATGATGATGATGATGACGATAATAATAGTAATGATAATAATAATAATATTAACAATAACAACAACAACAACAATAATGTTACTAATAATGATAACGATAATAACAATGATAATAATGATAATGATAATACTGATAATGATAATGATAATAATAATTGTAGTATTAATGATAATAGTAACAATGATAATAATAATAATGATAATGATAATAATAATAATAATGATAATAATAATAATAATAATAATAATAATAATAATTATAATAATAATAATAATAATGATAATGATAATGATAATGATAATAATAATAATAATAATAATAATAATAATAACAATAACAAAAAAACAAAACAATAATAATAATAAAATCAAAATGTTAATAATAATGTTAAGCTTTTGATGATGATAAAAAAAAAATAATAAAAAAGATAATAGCAATAAAAAACAATGATAATAATAACTATAACAAAAATAGTAATAATAATAATAATAACAACAAATACATTTATTATATTAGAAAATAACAACAAAAGTGATAATGGTTATATTGATAATTATATTCAGAGAATAATAATCATAATATCAGTACTAATAATAATGATAATACCAACAATAGTTATAGAAATACTACTAATAATAACAATAATGATAATGATAACAACTTCTATTACTGCTGCTACTAACAACAACAATAATAATATTGATAATAATAATAATAATAATAATGTTAATAATAATAATAATAATAATAATTACGATGATGACAATAATAATTATGATGATGATGATGATGATGATGACGATAATAATAATAATAATAATAATGATAGGGAAAATAGTAATAATAATTATAAAAATAATTCTAATAATGATAAAACAAAAACAAGAATCTTTATATCAATAATGGTAAAGATGATAATGATAAGGACAACAACAAAACAACAATAGTAATACCAAGAGTGATAATGATAGAAAAGAAAATAACGAAAATATATTGTCATCATCATCATCACCATCATCATCGTTATTATTACGTATCCTCCTCATTACCATTACTACATTACCATTATGATTATCTTTATTATAATGATATAAATAGCATCACAACAGGTCGAATGAATACTGGGATGAGAATTTTCTCGGTAGGAAGGAGAACATCTTAAGAACTAACAAAGCTATCTCAGAAGTGAGCGATAGGGAAGTGTTCTATATGTATGCACTCTACGATCATCTATACATCATTTCGACAACACTTACAGGCTTACTTACTTACTTACGGGCTCAAGAAAGTAGGGTGCGGTCGAACGTGGCCACGTGGTCGTTCGGTATCATGGATGGATATGAACGAGCGGGCATTTAGGGGATACATAGAAAGAATATAAATAAAGGTAAACAGAGGTATGCATACGATTATTCATATAAACATACATAGCACATCACACACACGGACATTCTACAGGGAACAGAAAACAATGTAATCTATTCAGCATCAGATAAGAAACACTGATATGTAACGTAATGAAAGGTTCACAGTCTCAACATCAGGTTTATCAGAAAACAAATACTTGGCGATATCCTTGGTTAAGAATAGGATTAATGTGAAATAAAGCAAGGGAATGCGAAGCTGAAAGGTTAGACGGCAGCTTGATTAAGTATAGAAGGCTGATTTATCTTAGCTTCAGGTGGTTACTACTAAGTGCTACTTATTTATCATATCTATAGTTATAAGCAACAAATCTGCAAATAGGACAACAGAGAATTTTGTTTTAATTAAGCCAATAAAAGGAAACGAGTACATT